GGAGAAGCGGTGGATGTGGTATACCTAGACTTTAGTAAGGCGTTTGATACGGTTTCGCATGATATTCTTATTAATAAATTAGATAAATACAACTTAGATGGGGCTACTATAAGGTGGGTGCATAACTGGCTGGATAACCACATTCAGAGAGTAGTTATTAATGGTTCACAATCCTGCTGGAAAGGCATAACAAGTGGGGTTCCGCAGGGGTCTGTTTTGGGACCGGCTCTGTTCAATATCTTCATCAACGATTTAGATATTGGCATAGAAACTACGCTTATTAAGTTTGCACATGATACCAAGCTGGGAGGGACTGCGACTAATCTGGAGGTTAGTGTCATAATTCAAAATGACCTGGACAAACTGGAGAAATGGTCTGAAGTAAATAGGATGAAGTTTAATAAAAACAAATGCAAAGTGCTCCACTTAGGAAGGAACAATCAGTTTCACACATACAGAATGGGAAGCAACTATCTGGGAAGGAGTACGGCAGAAAGGGATCTAGGGTTATAGTGGACCACAAGCTGAATATTAGTCAGCAGTGTGATGCCGTTGCAAAGAAAGCAAAAATGATTCTGGGATGCATTAACAGGTGTGTTGTGAGCAAGACACGAGAAGTCATTCTTCCGCTCTACTCTGCGCTGGTTAGGCCTCAATTGGAGTATTGTGTTCAGTTCTGGGCACCGCATTTCAAGAAAGATGTGGAGAAATTGGAGAGGGTCCAGAGAAGAGCAATGAGAATGATTAAAGGTCTAGAGAACATGACCTCCGAGAGAAGGCTGAAGGAATTGGGTTTGTTTAGTTCAGAAGAGAGAAGATTGAGGGGGGACATGATAGCCGTTTTCAGGTATCTAAAAGGGTGTCACAAGGAGGAGGGAGAAAACTTGTTCATCTTGGCCTCTGAGGACAGAACAAGAAGCAATGGGCTTAAACTGCAGCAAGGGAGGTTTAGGCTGTACATTAGGAAAAAGTTCCTAACTGTCAGGGTAGTCAAACACTGGAATAAATTGTCCAGGGAGGTTGAGGAATCTCCATCTGTGGATATATTTAGGAGTAGGTTAGATAAATGTCTATCAGGGATGGTCTAGACAGTATTTGGTCTTGCCATGGGGGTAGGGGTCTGGACTCGATGACCTCTTGAGGTCCCTTCCAGTCCTAGTATTCTATGATTCTATGAAAGTTGGATTGGGACCATTATGAATTATATTTTAAGACTACAAAAACCTTTTTAATGAAGTGTTATAAAGAGGGACCACTATGCACTGTATAGATAGCAGAACCTCGAACATTTATGAGGGTCAAACCTTTTTTCATTTATGGCAATCTCTTGTTTCAGAATAAATTTGTATGATTCTCTTGCTTTTCATCAATCTAATTTCAGTCCAATCCCTAGACACTCAGCAGGTGGTCTCTCCCCTGTACTGCAAGGTTAGATTTCTGCAAATGTGATGACAAGCTGGGGCTTCCCCTGATAGATAGATAAAAACAATCCAAGCACTCTATTGTTCCTCTGATGGGACATTCCAGAGCAGGAAATCCCTCCTACCCTGGGGCTATCTATTACTGGTTCAGCAACTATTAGTTTTTTCCAAGGGTATTTATGATTGCTTTAGAAATTATTCTAAAAGACTTTGAAAAATAGAAATACTTTGAAATAATGAAATGATGGGGCCTTACAGTTCAAATCACATCCAGCCTCTGGTTGAGAAGAATGCTTTTTTATTTTCAGTCAGTTTAAAAAGGGACCAGCAAAAAAAAAAAAAATCCTTTTTTGTTGCTTCTTTATTATGCATAAATAAAAAAGGTTTGAAAGACTTTTACATTTTTTCTGTATGATTTTTCATTAGTATTTCTAGTCCTGTCTTGTCTGCAAGACTGCATGATGAGTTAAATAATGACATCACAAGATTCAAGACAGTTGAAAGTTGAGCAATTGAGAGGGGAAGGGATTAGTCAGGCTTTTAAAACTCATTATGTTTTGTTTTTAACAACTATTTACTTCTAGTGATGAAATAACATTTTGGAAAAGGGAGTCTAACTTTCAATTCAATTCCATGTTTTCAAACAGGTGCAAATACTACCAATAAAATAAAAAAATATGAAATCATAACAATATTTTAAAAATTACAAAAATGTCAAACCAAGGAAGCCCAAACTAGATACCCCTAGCATTTCTAAAGGAAAAGCAATCAAGAAACACTGCTAACACATGCACTTTTAAAAAAAGGTATTCTTTGAATATCCAAAAGGGACACATGCCCAATTTTTCTAAACCTCTGTCAGGGCAACTTTGTAGCTGTACATTGCCCCAAAATATTTATTACAAAATGTATTTCTATAAACACGTTGCATTTGATTTTAAAACTTGTGATAGACATGTTAATCCTGGTAGGGATGTTAAAATGCGTTTATTTTTGTAAATGTGTAACCACTTAAAAGCCTGCTTCCCACGCATACCAGCTCTTGCCTGCCTACTTGCACTGCTGCCTCTGATACAAAGGCTGCAGCATGGGAGGGGGGAAGCAGATGGCTTGGCAGGAGAACAAGGGGGAGCTGCATATAACCGCGTACACAAGTACATTTTCACATCCCTAAATCTTGGTTTTATTTTTTTCTAAAATTAAACATCTAGCCTGCAGAAATACAGTAGTTAAATTAGGCAAAATCACCATTTCAGACATGTTATCTAACGTTCGTCCCTTCATTTCATCCATCTCACTCTTTGCCGCAGATACTCTCTCCAACTCCTCCTGTGTGTAACTGTATCCAGAGATACCTTTCTTGTCCTCAATAGCTTGCTGTGGACATAGGAAATAAGTACAAAATGTGAGGACAGTTTCTGGCAGACCATGAAGTGAGCTCTCTAATGTAAGTGAAATATTTAAAGAATGCTGGAAGTGAAGCTAAGTGCTGGAAACAGTTTATTTTAAGAGTGATGAAATTGTATGACTGCCATAAGACCTAACTAAAGTATCTGCCATTCTATTCAACTGGTAGGTTATTAATACTTTTCGCAAGATGTCTAAAAAGCCAACTGAAGTCAAAAGGAAGTTTTCTATTGACGTCAATGGGGTTTTGATCAGACCTTATATGCAGTAATTAAATATATAAAAATAGAGATGCCTATTTTGGAGGAGATAATCTATTGTAAATATAGCAAATTCTATTACCTCCTTCCCCCCACTATCTAAAGGAGAACAAAATACAGTATTTCTGAACTGTTTTGTAACTCTATTTTCCAATGCTGTGTTTTTATGGCAGGGGGAGTAATATACATTATTTATCTTGTTGTATATTTCCTGGAGACTTAAACTCTGTCTTCAAACATATTCTGCTGCCCTTGATTGTCATGGGGACTCTTCTTGTTGTTTATGGTAGAAGCAGAGTTTGGCTAGTTTTCAGTTTCTGAGTAATATATATTCTCTAACTTCAGGAATCATTGTGAAGTACTCTGCTTCTTAAGGCCTGGTCATTGTTGCCATTTTTAAATACTATTCCACTATCGCAGAAAGCTTATCTGTGCCTTATAGTTGATAAAGTAGTTTTAAAGCCCTCAAAATATACTACATCTTATCTCCAGCTAATTAAGGATCTCCTCCCACTTTTGTGGAAGACAATAAAAATTTTGCCAATGACTTCCCTTGAGTGTAAGATTAAGCCAGTCACACTCAAGAAAAAAAGTAGTGTGTGTACAACTGTCTATAAGAAACTATTTCTAGTCATGACATACAATAGCTGAGTATAACTGGCAGATTAAAACAATTACTATATCAAGGACACTTTATCAGTGTTTAGCTAATAATTGTAAGAGAGCTTTAAAGATTAAAACACATTACAAAATTCCAAACCAATTATGTCCATTTCATTGTATTGATGATTATCACTGTGGCTGGGACGTATGGGAGTGGGAGAATTTTGCCTTACCAACTGTTGCTGAATAGCCTCATGACGTTGTTTTAGGAGTTCTTCTGTTCTCTGCAGGATACCGTACTCAGCTGTAATTTCTGCTATTTCTAAACGCTTCTTTTTGTAAAACGTGTTCTTGCTTCGAAGCTTATTAACATAGCGTTTAAACTGAAACGAGACATAAAAGGGACATTTGTAATTTAAATAAAATGGCCTTATTTATAGAACTACAGAAAATGAAATATCCTGTTCAAATAGCTCTCTATACCTCTGTTTAGCCATTTGATAAATGGAAATAATTTATTTCTACTTACCTGACTCACTTGGGGATGGAATGGCTAACTGCTGTTTTGCAATGTTTTGTAGAAACTTGTATTATATTAACTTTTATTATCCAGGTTGAAGCTCTGTAAACTGGGACCATGGATGTTGCTGGACCAGAGAGTTCTGGTGGCCAGGAGCCCTGCAGCAGGAAGGCTGGTGGCCGGGAGCCCTGCCAGGGCCCAGGGCCCAGACCCCAGCTGGGCTGGAAACAGGGGGGCCAGCAGCTGGGAGTCATGCTGGAGCCAGGGGGCCTGCCAAGGTGGCAGCAGTAACTAGGAACCTTGCTGGAGTGGCAACAGCAGGATCAGTGGCCAGCAGTGGGGCTGGAAGCCCTGGCAGGGTGGCCACTGTGGGGCTGGCAGCAGC